CCTTAATACCACCGCGTTCCACATCTAATCCCGGTCATTTCGTTGATACCGTCCTATCGATGACACGATGGATCACGTCGGTGTCCAAAGTTTGGGGAATCGTCGATCATGCGAAGGATAAAAGTGTTATGCGACGAGATACTCGAGTAACTCGCCGTGACATTAAAGTAATTGCACTGAATTGTGCTCTGATTTTTCTTGATTATAATATCCCGGGTTGAGCCAACTCCTCGTAACGAAGATCTTCCAAGAGACCTATATAAATAAAGAGAAGACAGGAATAAAAAAAAATGCTTGCCTAACGATACCCACTTCACGTGCGCAAAGAAAGATGAGGCTCGAACTGGTTTTTACATAATAGTCTATCACGCCGCTTATGTAATGACCAGACTATCCTCAATCACAGACTGTACGTTATCTTCGTTGCGCGAGAACGTATTGAAGTAGCGTCGAATGCATAAACAAACAATAAATATTATAGTCAAGATAAATCTGAGCACAATTCAATGCAATCGCTTTAGTGTCACAAGTTACCCGAGTGTCTCGTCAAACAACACTTTTATCCTTCGCATGATCGACGACTCCCCAAATTTCGGACACCGACGTGACCCACCGTGTCGTCGATAGGATCGCATTAACGAGATGACAGTCTGGCAAGGTGTATCGATAGTGTACTGGACGATACTAATTGACGAGAGCCCATCACTCTCACAATGGACGATCAATATCGCCAAGGCCATCTTAGGGAAATTGTGTTGACGTTCGCGCGTATCCATGCCTCGTAGGCATCAATCAAGTATGAGACAAAAGTGACGAGTGGACAAACGATGCGACAGCAGGCTTTACAAATTAGCGACAGAACACCCGGCCGGGGCGAAACCCGAAAAGGCCCCAGATTGATATGATCGACCGTGCGGTCTCGTTATCAGTCAATCGCGTTTTAACGCGGATTATTCCGCCGCCCGTGGTTACGTAACGTCATCGCGTTCTTCACGCGGCGCCAATGATCATCGCGCGACCGTCCTGCGAGCGTAAGAACGGCAAAGTACAGAACGCGCCGAATTAATCAAAACGTTGAAGCGCGAAAGCGATTATCCGAGCCGGCGTGTGATTAAACTGCGGGAGAAAATTCCCTGGCTCGCCGCAAATGTTTGATCTGACACGCCACTGTGCGCGCGCTCATAAACTGAATCGCTGCCGGATCCCAGATTGGATCAATTGTTCAAGTCGGTAAACAGAGAGATCCCGGATTTAGCGCTCTTTAATTTACCGTCCGACCGCGGATTTACACAAGTGTGGTCTAAGGCCGAGCGGAAATCGCGTGCGCGGTCTGAAGAGCTCTTGTGCGTACCTGGGAAAACAACTTCGTGGAAAGCGGTCGGAAGGAGACTGAGAAAGACGATACGAAAGGCGGTTTTACACGGTAGAGTCTCGCGGAAAGTGCAAATCGCGAGTTTGAAAACTTAGTAAAAAATTCCCTTCCAGCTGATTGTTGCTCGCGTGGAACGACTTTCGCTCCGAAGAAATTTGCTGTAATAACTGATCTTGGAATTAGATACAAACCCGAGGCATTTCTATTAAGTATTATCGCGAATTGCGTACAACAAGATACATCCAGGTCACCCGACTCGTGTCACCGATTCGTCGCTACGAGGCTTCTTGAGAATCGCTTTATTTTCTTCGCCTAGAAACACGTTATGTAACGCGATTTAAAAGGGGAGGGGGGAATTTGTGCCGCTTATCGAAACAGGTTGCGTTCGAGCGTATGCGCTTCCGTATTAATAATTTTCCAGCCATTAACCCTAGAACTCACACGCTATTTTTTTTACCTTCTAGCTCACAACAGGGGTCGATATCGACCCCACGCACGCTTTGCGACGGTGCTGCGTCACTGCCAGCGAACGTCTAACGCTGCGACCGACATAGCCCTACTTTCAGAGAGTTGAAATGAATTATGATCCAGGTCCTGAGTCGATAATGCCACTCGCTAGCTCAGAAGCGTAGTTCAAAGTTCGCCTGGGGTCGGCATCTACCCCGGTTGTGAGTTCTAGGGTTAAAAATAGCACGCTGCATTTTTTACGTCTAGATTACACGTGACCTGAATAGAAACGGCTCGATATCGGCAGGAATTAACGGATCGTGAGTGTATATTAATAAATTATCGGGGCTCGGAATCAGGATGTGCCGATTTGCGCTGCCGGTTACAGCGTCAAAGCGAACAAGTTCGAGTCTCGCGATCGCGTCGGCTCGCAAGAAGAAAAAAAAACCCGGTTTCACCGCCGCAAGAGCGGAAGGGGATCGACGGAAGAGGGACCACGAGGGGGAAGAGATTTCACGCTACATCGCTATTATTAATAACCTCATGCGCGGCCAACGATGAAACCACCATGTACTACTTTACGGATTGTTTCCGTCTAGACGATCATCCACGTCCGTCTAGCTCGAATACGCTGGCGATTCGGAGCCTGGGATCGATGTCACCGAAGATACCCGGACACTCGAAAAACCTTAAACGGTAAAACTTAGAGCCCGGTCTGCAATGAGTTGTCAGTCATTAATCAGAAATCAGAACCATGTGTCGGTCCTTGTCCGTTCAGGGCGACAGAAAAAGAGCCGACGTGTACTTTTGACTTCTGACTAACAACTCATTGTAGACCGGGCTCAAGATTGAAGAATTTCAGAGTGCTATAAGTTTCGAAATGGCTGCCTACGTTCTCGACAATCATTGATCGTTTCTCTCAAGTCTTAAGCTTTACTGCTTAAGTTTTTCCGTGTGTTCGGGCCCTCAAGCTGGAAACACGAAGAAACTTAAGCAGTAAGACTTGAGAATTTCAACCAATCGGAATTTTCAGCTTAAATTTCAAACTAGCTGCTCACATTCTCGGCTGCCACTGGTCTTTTCCCCCCAAGTCGCCAAGTCTTACCGCTTAAGTTTTTTTCGTGTGTCTGGACCTGAATGCTGGCCGGACACGTCGACAAATTTGCTTGGTTGAACAATGAAGAAGCGGCATCGTAAAATGGTAAGAGAATTATACTTGTAGGTCACCGAATACAAAAAGTTGTTTTCCAGAATTGATCGGGAGTAATTAATAAAGAACAATTCACGAGCATTTCTATTACGCGATGTTCATTGTGATCGATATTCATGCGCGTGCTATCCACGACAGGTTGACGATCAACACCGATAATGACTGCCGTTAGACGCCCTCATGTGTATTCAAACGTGGTAAAACTGATTTACAGCTAAGCGGGAACAAAGCAACTAAGAAAGACTGTTGAAAAAGCACCGGCGATATTTTAATCGGTGTGTCTACAAGAAAATTAATACTTCATCTTATTGAAAGTGGAAGTTGCTTTATAAAAAATACATAATTCATCCTTAATAAAATTAATTACTTATTGTTGTCAACCAAGCAAATTCGACGTGTCCGGCGAGCATTAGGGCCCAAACACACGAAAAAACTCGAGAAAAATGACCAGTGACAGAATGTAAACAGCTATTTTGAAACTTGAACAAAAATTACAATGACTAAACCATCGATAAGAAACAGCATTTCCCCTTTTGTCAGAATAAATAATCTTGTCACAATAAAATTAATTCAACGTCGGCGAAGATTATTCATAACGTTTTTTGTGCTACAATAAAAAAAAGCCTATATATAATCCGTTGCACGTATGTGCGGAAAGCAATAAATAGCCGAGATATATTATCGCGCCAATCGATTACAGCCACGGCTGTTTATGCGTGAAATGTCGAAATGATTATCATACGACTGCCGAAGGAGATAACTCACCAGAGGAAAGAGTGAATCTCACACCTTCCGCGCGTACGCGCTTAAATTACAAGGAACCCTCGCTGCAACATCGCGAAATGACGAATGTGCAAAATTCTAATTATAGCGATACGCATTCGGTGCCGTAAATAAGATCGCATAAATATTTGCAGACTGGCGCGATGCCAGTCTTCACTTGCGTAAATCCTTCGTTCATTGATAAAGACGTCGGCTAACACGATCGTCGTCGATTCCGTTTAACGTTGACCGTGAATTTGAAAAATCAGTTAAGTGTATTCCGGCGAATTGATAACGATGGGAACTCAATTCGGTGTGCACTGACCGGACGGTGAACACGACGATTCTTCCACTGCGTCGGACAGGAAGTTTATGCAACGACTGACTCAGAGTCGCCCGATACAAAACGTTGACGCGAAGTGGAAAAGCATGACAAGTCTTTCGAAGAGGCGTCGCGGCACGTTTCCGCTCGACATCAGCGGGATCATAGCGTTTAACGAGAGGCTGCACTTTTCGCACCTTTTGCACCTAGAACTGTCTGCTCGTGGAAACATTTGTGTAATGTACGAATTAGGTTGCTTATATGTACAAGTCGAAAGTGTTCCACTGTTCGGACGAAGAGAACAGCACGGTATCATTGAAGCTAAAAGCCAACGATACTATTTTGCCTACTGGATTACTTGCGAAATCAGGGGTTCGATCGTGAATCTTTTCCTCCAGCGTAAGCTCGTGAAAATCTTCATTGATAAATTCAATATCGGTCAATACAATTTTTCACTTTTCACGGGTTCACTCGAGAGGGGAAGATTCGTGATCGAGCCGCTGGATTTAGCTCCGAGTCGCCAAGGGCCTCGATCGTGAATCTTTCCCTCTAGCGTGAATTCGTCGAAAAATTTCATTGACGAGTAGTAAATTTCTTCAATGAAACTTTGCACTTTTCACGAGTTCACGCTGGAGGAAAAGATCATGAATGAACAGATGCGGAAGGTGTGAAAAGAGCAAACTCGCTGCAGCGTCCCTTTAACATACAAAGACGAACGGAGGTGTTTAACATTGATTCGCAACGTCGTTCGCAGAAGACGTTACGGTGCGCGTCGCGTCGACGAGGAATGCGCTTGGAATTCGCCATTCCAAGCTCCTGACGCCCACAGGTGGTGGACGATTGCTCGCGGCAAAACAACAGCAACGCAAACAGGACCCGTCGCTTACCTCACGAGCTCGCGGCAACCGTCACGTCGGTTTCCTCCTCGCGCCTTCCTGCTCACGAGATCGCCGGTTCGCTTTTCCCACCGTGCGACCGCGGGAGAGGAAATTAGCACTACGCGCGACTCAAGGGTGTTGGTCCAAGAATGGTGTGGGTGTCGCGCGCTCGTGTGCGTGCGTGCGTGCAATTCGCGCGTACCGCCTGCTCTCCGCGCGCCACCGCCGTCGTTTCTGCTCGCGGGTGTGCCGTGTACGTGGGCCACCGAGGTACAAGGACCGGACGACGACGACGACGACGACAGAGTGTGCGTGGTCGCGCGGAAGAGAGGCGAGGCGATCGACGACTCGCTCACGAGACCGCCGACGAACGACTGAATCGCGCTACGCCGACACGCCGCGATTCAACATCGGGACGGAAGGGGGGGGGGGGCCCTCGATTACCTTCGAACTTTGGCCGCGGACCGACCCGCGCGCGCGTGGACCCTGCCTGGGGTCTCGTCGAGATAACACCACGCGATGATCGGAGGTGGAAGTGACGTGTGCGCGCACACGAGGCGCCGGGACAGCTGTTCGCGAATCTGGGACTCGGGGGAGGGCGAGAGGGGTCGATCCTGATCGCGCAGCAAACGAGTTTGACCGCGTCCCGCTTTCCCGAATCCTGCATTCCTGGATGGACTTTCGAAAGCTTGTTGCTAACGACACTCGACGCGATCTCGAGCGAACACTGGCTACTTGCTGAATCATGCGTACGAGGAGTCGCCAATTTCTTCTCCTAGAATCACACGTCGTCGCCATTCCCCTCGTACCGCGCGACATTTGCGATGAAAGTAAGGTTGGTGGCAGAGAACGATCCATAAACGCTCAAGTCTGTCTTACCCGTGGACGTGGTATGAATGGACCCACCATGGCGCTCTGTGAACTGGCGAAGCCAGAATAACCGCGTGAGGCAGAGAATAAAGGGACCTCATTGCTATGTTCAAGCGTGTTCTTTGACACATGGACAATCTAGACAGCTGGAGATGGAATACCTTCGTTTTTAGAGTTTTAGAAAGAAGAACGAGATTTAGCTATCGCAACTAAATATTAACTGTCTTGCAATTGAAATTTAGGCCCGGTATCACCAACGTCGGTTAACTTTAAACTTAACTTAATTCGTTCTCTGTCTCTTCCCGACTGTTACTTTAGAAACACGAATTAAACTAACAGGGAAACGTTATCGAAGTGTCCCCCTCCGATTTGGGTGAGCTTCGAGTGTCGTTTTCCAGCTAAAAATAAGAGACACGTATTCCGTTATACGCGCCCATACGCACTTTTAGGAGATAAACCGGGCCTTGGTTGCCACATGTGGTTAACATTTTTCTGTCCGTGTAGAAACGAGCATTAAGCTTTCACGGATCATTATCTGCTAACAACCTTACAGCTACCAGCTGATAGCGCGATTATCGGCGTACGCGAGTCCACGTACGTTTCGCAAAACGACGCATTACGAACGCGTCTCGCACCGAGCCACGTGGCACTTTATTAGTCCAACTGAATCACGCCTGATTGTACCGGGAGGCAGCCGAATAATGGATCGATATGCCGATTCACCGTGGCAATAGTAGCGCGCGCGACGTCACGGCCAACCAGGTCGGCGTCTGAATATCCTCACGGTCGGAGCGTGCCTCCACGTTTCAAACAATCTAGATCAAGTCCGACGGCGTGCACCAATAACACCGCGCCACGCTGACGACGGCCGGAGAAACGAGATCCGCTTGTTTGCACCGTAACGTCGTCATTCTCCAGAGTGGTTCTAATGGAAACGCGCAGATCCCTCTTTCTCCGATGTTAGATCTTACAATTTTAAAGAAAAGGAACGCGATCGAGATTCCCTCCGGCCGGCGCCGAACAACTTTCAACGTGTTGCAGAGTTGCGCGCTAATTGCGTGCTCCGATGCTCCAAAGAAAACATCCTTCAGTTTTTCAAGGCATCAAATTAACACTCGATTCTTTCTTTTTCCACGTAATTCTCACTCTAAATTTTTATCCGTTTATAAGAGACTCGGCGTCAAGTTACTCTCTTATTGCGCGTCTCTAATTATCCACGCCAAGTGTTTCTGGTACTATAGCGCTTAATGAATATTTCAGTTTCAACGCGTCGGAATTTAGCGCGCGACTTGGCCGCGAAGCGAGGCACAACCCGCGGTGAAACGTCACAAATCTCATTGTCAGCACACGACGAGTGTTCATAACAACTTGTTATTTGTATCAAGCTGTTTGGGCTGAATCGAGAAAGCTCAGCAATACGCTCGACCGACTTGTAACCTATCGATCGACTTTTCAACGACTTTCCCGATGCTCGCCGATCAGCTGAGCGTTCGAACTTTAAATCACGATTACGGCAACTCGCGGACCGACTCTGGGCCGAAGCGCGAAACGCCCGAGGGCGTTCTCGGCAATCGTGCGAGATCCAGCGTGACAATTTGCATGCCAAAACCTCCCCCGTGTCCACAAAGATCGGACGCAAAAATCGGACACCGTCAAATATAATCTCAACGCCGTCCGCTCGAAATCAGTCTCGGGACACGCGTCGGCACGGGGATTCTGTGACCCGTTGGCTCTCGGCATCGTTAACTAGCGACGACCAAGGCGATCCTTGGAAAAAAAAACCGCTACCTTCACGTGGCCAGTTAACGATACCGAAGGGTCGTCGATAGGCTCGGAATTCCCATACTGTACGGATTATGATAATTAGTTCAATGACCCCTGGCTCCAGCTGGACCCAATACGGCCACGTCTAACCACTTGTCGTAATACGATAGTCCATGCAATGTCAAATAGTTCACACAGTGCAGAGGCCCAACTGCCAGATCTCGCACGGGGTGATGCAATCGGATGATGCGACTACCCCCCCCCCCCCCCGAGTATCAAAATATTCCTCTTCGGTTAGAAGACGCGCGAGTCGCTCAACGTCCCAAACGGAGCTATACCGTGCGCGGGGATTCTGAAACTCGCTACCGATGCTTCTCGGTATATCGTTGACTAGCGGCAGCCAATGGCAAGGACGATCATCGAAAAAGACGCAGCTTTTCGCGGATTGTTGTTGGTTAACGGTACCGCGAGGCCTCGATAACGAGTTACGGGAATTCCCGTACTGGTAACCCTCCATCGGCCCGTGTACGTCACGGAAAACTCGTCTCGCTTACATTGTCGCGCGGCGAAGGGCTTTCTCCTCCCTCGCGGAGCCGCCACGTCACGTGCTGGAAGGGAGATGCTCCGCGGCGCAGCCCGCAGCCCCGGTGTGGACGCGATCTATCCTCAATGACGCTCGACCCGCGACGCCATTGCCGTCGCGTCTCCGAAGGGTTTCCCGCGCACTTGCCAGCTCCGTCGTTTACCGCGCGACACGTGTCACACGCGTCCAGTCACCTCGACTACCCGTACGCACTGACGTCGCCGACGCGGGATGCGAGCGGACCGAAGGATCAACGCCGCGGCCATCTTGCCGCCTGAAACTAGCAACTAGCGACTCTCTCTGCCAGCGGGATCGATGGGACGCCACGAGCGTCCCCTGTCGGCGGGGCGCGGCATGGCTTTCCCTCGGTCAGATGGTTTTCCCTTTTTTTGGGGGGGGGTTTTTTTCCTTTTCTCTCAGCCGACACGACTCGCGAAAATAAAAGACCCTGGAGCGGAGCCTAATTTGTCCCGAGCGCGTGATGCGTTTAGTCTCATTCAACATTTGGCGAACCACAGTCGATGATTCGCGATCGCGAATCTTTTCCTTTAGCGTGGAAAAATTTCATCGACAAATATTGACCTGGTTAATGAAATCTTTCGCTTTTCATTAACGAATTCAATATTTGTCGAGGGAAAATTTTCACCTTTCGCGAGTTCACGCCTGAGCAAGGGATTCCCGGCCGTGTCTCTGAATTCGTCAAAACGAACTCTCTCCAGCGTGAACTCGTGAAAAGTGAAGAAATTTCATCGGCGAACTTAATATTTATCAATGAAACTCTTCACACTTTGTATACGAGTTCGCGAAGAAGATTCGTGATCGAGCCTCTGGTTCGTTCCGTAAACATAAATATAGACTGAGCCGGGCATTCCATAGTCAATTCTTATAGTTAAGATCATTTTAAACTCTTAATGCGTTTTTAACCAATCACAGAGCCATATTAGCCTCTTAAGGCAACACTTAAGATGATTTTGAAATAAGAATCGACTATGAGTACCTGAGCGTCCCATTAAATCAGCTGAAACTTGTGAAGAGAGAGAGAGAGAGAAAATTTAAGGAGGCTTTCTCTCTCTTACACTATACTACAGACATAAGTTCGTACTGCGCAGGCGCGATTTTTTCTTTTTACGATAATGTAAAAGAGGGAAAGAATGTCTTCTTTCTCTCTCTCTCTCTCTCTCTCTTCACAAGTTTCAGCTTATTCAATGGGACCCGCAGTCTACATTCACTATGTCTATGGTTTGTTCCCGGCGTTCCCTTCGCGGGTAAATTCCCCCGCGGGTTAACTCGAAAACGATTGGGTTTTCGGCACCGTCCACCCTTGACCTCGCCTCGAAAGCGCGCGACACGCAAACCGGGACGCGTCGCGCCGGAAAATAATGGGCGCGAGATATTCGGCGAACGACGATAGCACGTATCGCGTCCCGACGCGCACGCGGATCGTACGGGAGCACGCACGTCGCCAGCGCGTGCCAATAAGAAAAGTAAACAGACGACCCCTCGCAACGTACCCCCCGAGCGCGTTCCAGCTCCGAACAATTTCCTCTTACCGATTTCCACCTTTAAATTGCGAATTAACAGCGAATTCGCTGTAACTCGAACGCGCAAATTTACTTTAATCCCGGCTTAACTCGCTTCCGCTTCTCAAGACCGGAAAAGGGGTAAGTTGAACCGCGATCGAGGTTGATCTACATTAAAATAAACTTCAGGCAAGATCACCTAAGTTAAAACTAAACAACGTACAAGAAAACGACAATGTAGGTCACGAGGCAAGACGTAGGTAGCCCGGCTTGTAATTGTTACATTTACCGTTCATCTACGTCGCTGGAAAAAGGGGAAGAGAAAGGAACGCGAGTCGAAGGAGGCGGCAGGTGATCCTCTCTATTCTTTCTCTCCTCGGCGTATCGTACCGTGTCGGCCGCAATATCGTCGCGCCGGTCACTCGCCGAGCCGCACGTGTCCGCGGGCCAGCGCGGCGGCCAGGCGCCGCTCCGAGAATACCGCAATGCGAGCGAGCTCAGAATCGACCAGCGGGAGAGGAAAAAAAGGCTGACGTTGAGGCGAGGGAGGGATGCTTGTGCGCGTCGTTTGTTTACGCGGGCAATCACGGTGCGTACCTACGCGCCGGTACGCGGGGATCTCGGGCGAGGATCGTTAGCGAGTCGATCCGCGACCCGCCGTTCCGTTCTGCGAGGACGCACGTCTGTTTTACTCCGGTTTACTCCGCTTACGTTCGAGGCCGAAAGAGCGAAGCGACTCCGATCTCCGCGTCAACTCGTCTCACTTCGAACGCCCGTGAAACGTCTCCGCGGTTTACTCAGTAAATGTCGTTCGTACACAAACGAGAAGCAAACGTTCTGACGTAAAGAAAGAAAAATACACGTCGGCGATGTCGACAGCCCGCAACCCCCGGCCGCGTAACAGAATTCCGTTCAACTTTCACGGACGACGGGCGAGAGATCCGTTTACGTTACCTTATTCGTCCAAAAGTTACGCCGCTCTCGGCTGCTGAGACGCTCGGGCTCGGTAAAGCTCCGCTCTCCGTAAGCTCGCTGTCCTTAATGGCGTGGCGTGTCGTGGCGTGGCGTGGCGTAGCGGCGTGCGTCAGTGTCAGACGAGACTCATCGCAGAACGCGTTACATTACAAGCGTATACGCGCGTCGGGCCGTGCTCGCGGACCGTTAGTAAGCCCGACTCGGCGCGGAACAGCCGGTACGCGGTCGTGAATCTCGATATAGACCGCCGGCCCGCGCGCGGACCAATCGGACGGCGAGTCGCAGTGGGCGGGGATGTGGCGTGATCCTCGGTGACGTCACGCGCCGCCGCCGCCGCCGCCGCCGCGGCCGTCGCCGGCCCGCGATCGATAACTCGAATACTCGCGCGCTCGGGCGACTCGCGAGTTTCACGCTGGCGCGATGCAATCGGCGATCGATGGCCACGCGCGTCCGCCGCTTTTCATCGCGACGCGTACGCACCGGGAGGTGCACCACGCGTCCCGATCTTCTTCGCCGTCGTCCGGGCCGCGAAAGATTCGACGCGAGGATCCGAGGAACCGCGCGAGTGCGACCGGCTCCGTGCCTCTTCATTCAAACGTCGGGTTATCGACCGAGCGGGGATACCGCGCCGCGCTAACCTACCGACGGCGGGCGGGAAGAAATCGGCGGATCCCGAACGCTGCGCGTCCTCGCTTCGCGGGAGGTTAGATGTTAATCGGCGAAGTTCTGATAGCATGCGAACAAGGCTAAGGGCCTGTGTCCACGATGCTACAACTTGGACACGGTTCTTGGATCGTGGACACAAGGCTTAACGCGTTACTTTTCAGAATTGGTAACTAGTTACATTTTTAGCGAAGAAACTGTAACTGTAACTAGATACTTTTATAAAGTGATTTTCCCTGAAAATAATTATTAATATTTAAAAAAACAACAGAATAAATAACGAAACTCGACAAATTGAACGAGTATTTACGCGACCCATATAGCACCTGAGCCTTCAGAAACATTTCAGAAAACATTGTTGCAATGTTGCAATGTTTCTGAAAGCTTTGGTGCTGTATGGGGATACAATGCAATTTGTATTAAAAATGGACTCGGGGAAGCTTCGTCCGGCAATATCGAGAGAGAGGTCCAATGTTTCATCTAATTTCTTTTAATCTCGACACGGATATCCCGTAAACGTCGAGGTGAAATGAAACTAACTTGTGAGTGAAGCGTCGATCGAGGGGGATCGGAGCTGCTGCCTATAGCTGGGGTCTGGAAAGTGGACTGCGCTGTATCGCGGAAACATTGCATTCACGCGCAATAAAACTACAGCGTGATTACTGGAAGAATTAACATTTGAAAACTTTATTAAAACCAACAACACATAGTAACAAGAGCAACAACAACAAGTCGATGCGCCTCAAACAGCCCCGCGGCGACTGCATCTCTCGCTCTTTCTCTCTCTTTCTCTCTCTATTCTTACAAAAAAATATCAACCTGCCTCGTGTCGCCGGCGATCACGTCGGGCTCGAGCGCATCTCGGATACGATCGTCACCTGCGGACGAGCGAGCGTCTGGAGACCTGCGACATTAGTAACATTTGCAAATGAGCACACAGGATTAGAGGCGTTACCGTCGGCGACGATGGAAAAACACGTCGGCGATGGACGGGATCCCCCGCAGAGTGCGCGACACAGAGAGAGAAACACAGCAAAAGTCCCATTCGCGCTACAGATCGGCCGGGCGGACCCTCGCGGGTGCCACCACGATCGCTAAAAGCATGGCAAGGAGACAAGCGAGCAAGAGCGTGGTGCACGTCGTTACCGGGACGGTTAGGATGTTAGTGACTGGGCACGCGCGCTCGTCGTCCCGGAGACCAAGCTCGCACGCAGTGCGCTCACCTTCGCGGCCCTCCTCCTGGTCGCGCCCCCGCTTCCGCCTCAGGCCGACCTTGCGAATCGCGGCCGCGTCCTCGGCTCCCTCGTCCGCGTCGCGAACGAGCCCGCCGCGCCCGGTACCCAGAGCCTCGATCTCCCGCTCGTGCTCGTAGAGGCTGGCCGCGGCCAGCTGCAGGTCGCGGACCGCCCTGGACAGGTCCAGCTCCGCGTCAATGGTGGAGGCGTCGACCTCGAGGCGGTCGGCCTTGTTGCCTGCACCTTGGTCCCCGTCGTTGCTGGTCAGGGAGTCGCGCTTGGAGGCCGCGCGGGCGACCATCTCCTCGAGTCTCGGGGTGACGAGCGGTCGATCGTCGCTCGTCGGCTCGTCCTGGCTGTACGGCGTGGAGCTGCTGCGCGACGCGGCCGGCGAGCCCTTGCGAGCGGACAGCTGACTGTCGCGCAGGCGGTCGGCCACGTCGCCGAAGGCCTCCGCCATCAGCTTCACGTTCTCGTCCGCCACGCGAAGGTAGAAGTCGAGGTTGCTCGAGGTCGCCGCCGGCGTCGCGTCCGACCAGGACCTCGCGGAATTGGAGTCGCTCTGGCTCGCCGGGCTCCTCCCCTCGCTCTCCATGTTCCGCTCGTCGTTGGCGCGCCGCGGACCCGAGTGCTGGCTACCCAGAGAGCGCGTACGCACGCTCGCCGGAGGTTCCTCAACCTCGTATCCGACGTCCGAGTTGGACTTATCGGCGGCGACGGAGTCGTCCGCGTTCGGCGACGTCGCGTCGTCGTCGCTTGTTATCAGATTCACTAGATCTTGGCAAAGGCGAGTGTACGCGGTCAAGTCCGTCTCCGCGCCGTCGCTCTGGCTCGCCGGGCTCCTCCCCTCGCTCTCCATGTTCCGCTCGTCGTTGGCGCGCCGCGGACCCGAGTGCTGGCTACCCAGAGAGCGCGTACGCACGCTCGCCGGAGATTCGTCAACTTTGTATCCGACGTCCGAGTTGGACTTATCGGCGGCGACGGAGTCGTCCGCGTTCGGCGACGTCGCGTCGTCGTCGCTTTTTATCAGATTCACTAGATCTTGGCAAAGGCGAGTGTACGCGGTCAAGTCCGTCTCCGCGCCGTCGCCGTCGCCGCCGCTATTGGCCGCCGCGACGTTGGAATCCGAGTGTAGGTACTCGTGCCAAAACCCGTCGTTCAGGATGGCCTTTGAAGACAGCATGGCGTCGGATAGCTCCGCGACACCCGACTCCTTCTCCTTGTTCGGGCTTCCCCGCGCGCCCGTGGCCGTCGTCATTTCCGACGACACGTGGGCGCGCAGCTTGTTCCGGTTCGGCGGCGTCGCGTCGTCGTCGCTTTTTATCAGATTCACTAAATCTTGGCAAAGGCGAGTGTACGCGGTCAAGTCCGTCTCCGCGCCGTCGCCGTCGCCGCCGCTATTGGCCGCCGGGTGGTTGCCGTTGATGTCGATGTCGCCTTTAACCGCCAGCTCCTTCCACCTGTGCGCGTCGTTGTCGGACAGCTCGCCGTCGCTCACGACGCGTCTGAGATACTCCGCCCGCTCGGGCACCGCGGCAAAGTTCCTCGCGACGTCCTGGATCTCGTCCCGGATGGCGTCGAGGCTGGGCTCGCGCCGCAGGTGAATCCGCTCGTGATTGATCAGCCCGTAAAGGTTGGCCGACAGCGATCTGACGGCGCGCTTCTTCGTGCCGCGGGTCACCGCCTGCGACGGCTCGGCGACGTTCCGCGCGGTCGCCGCGACGGCGTCCTTCCTCAGGGCCCTGTAAGCCAGGTCGTCCGTGACGACGTCAGGCTCGCACTGCGGTATGTACGGCGAGCGCGGCTGCTCCGACTTGGTTGGCGTCGTGTGCAGGTAGTCGCTCTCGGTCGCCGCGGTGACCGGGCCGAGCGGGATGCCGAACGGCGGCTGCGGCTCGATCACCCGCAGCGTGTTGTTCGCGTGGCTTATGCTGCGGAAGAGCACGTCGTCGCGGGTCACGTCCGGCTCGTCCCGGCGGGACGGATAGGCCGCCGGCAGGCGCACGAGGTCGTCCGCCGAGTCCCTGCGCGAGAGGACGGGCGAGGCGATGAGATAGCTGATGCTGGACAGGGTCGACTGCCCCGCGACGTCCGAGAGCGACGCCGGCCTCTCCTTGGGATGCATCCTCCGGTAGGCCATGTCGTCCCTCGTCCTGTCCGGCGAGTCCGCGGCGGCCGCGAACGCGTCGGCCTCGTTTCCGCCTCGCCGCTGACTGAACTCCTCCATGCTCCGGCGTTCCGCGCGATCCAACAGCTCCTCGTCGCCGAGGCGGAGGCTGTTGTATATCGCCTCCAGCTCCGACAGGGCCTCCTCGAGGTTCCTCGAGCTCCTCCGTCTCTCCAGAGCCTCCTCGCTGGTTCCTCCCTCATTCGCGCGATTATTGACGTCACGCGTAGACGGGACGATGGTGCGCGAGACCCGCTGCTCGCAGGGCGACCTTCCGGACGACCGATCGGGCGTGGACGCGTGCGACGAAATCGTCTCGTGACGTTTACTCGCTTCGCGCGAGTCCGCCGATTTATTCTTGGCCTCGTACGCGCGGTAATTGGCGTCGTTGCGACTCAGCTGATCGTTGCGAATGTTTCTGCGCCTCGTCGCTTCCATCTCCCTGTAGGCCGACTCGTTTGCGCAATGACGGCTCGAGTTATATTTATTATTTATGCGCTCCAGCGAGTTGCGGAATTCCGCAGCCTTGGGATTCGGCTCGCGGTCCGTCGCGTCGCGCCGGGCGATCTCGTTGCTCGAGCCGTACAACCGGAAGTTCCTCCAGTCGGGTCTCGTCGCTCCGCTCGCGGCGCTGATCCTATTGTTCTCCTGCTTCAAGTAATTTGGCACGTTTTGGTGTCTGTTGAGCGGATAGGAACTGTATCCGTAGCCGAACGCGCGGTAACGCGGATCCCTCGGTGGCGGCTCGGGCGGCTGATTGTTCGGATTGACGGACCGACCACCGACGGCGCGATCGAACGGCACTTCCGAGTGATGGTACGCGGGATACGTGAAGAAGTTCCCGGCGGCCGAGCGGCCGTCCGCGTACACGTCGCCGCTGATATGTCGCGATATCTTCCCGTAGGCGCTGTTCTCGTTCAAGTCCGCCGTGTACTGACCCGCGGAGTATCTCCTGGCGTCGTCGTACACCTCGGGATACGGCAGGCTCTCCGCGGAGGACCTTTGACCCGGGAACGCGCGGCCGCTCGAGTCGGCGGGATGCACGGTCGACCGGCGCGGATGTATCGGCGGCCGGCACAGTCCGTTCACGTCGGGGCAAACGGCGCGCTCCTTATCTTCGATAAGGAGGTCCGTGGAACACCTCTTGCCGTGCGGGTCGCTTAAAGCGTCGCCGCTGCCGTTGCCCTCGTCCCGAGACAGCCGCTTGATGTAGCGCTCCGTCCGCGCGGCGCGAGTCCTCTTGCTGCACGCGTTGCCGCCTCTCGGACCGTCCGCGACGTGAGATCTGTTCAACGAGCCGTTCGATCTGCGAGAGTCCTCGTCGGAGCTGCTGCCGGCGCACAGGTGGTCCCTCTTCGCCTCGGCCCGAGCCTTCAGCTTGTTTCTCCGCGACTTCCTGCCGAGGCCGTCCAGCGAGCCGTCGCTGCTGCGCGAGTGCAACGAGTCCCGGCGCGAACGCGGCGAGTCCGTCACGTGGCGCACGTTGCTCTCGACCCGCGTCCGTTTCTTGTCGCGCTCCGAAGCGTCGCTCTTCACCGAGTGAAGCACCACGCCGTCGACGTGCCGGAACTTGCTCGGTTTCTTCGGCGACTTCTTGCAGTAGACGATCTCCTCGTCATTGGAGGAACTCTCGTAATCCTTTATCGAGGATATCCGCCGCAGAATCCCGCCTAGGGACCACTTCCTGTCCTTCTTCTTCTCGGACGCGCTGGTCACCGCGTCGCAAACCGGCAAGCGCCGAGTCGGCGGCAGAAGACCGTCCATCCTCAGCATGTCCTTCTTACGCAGTCCCTTCTTCTCCATAGCTAGGCGTCAGCAAGCTTCCCCGACGTTAGACCTGGGAAGAACATTTCGTTTAGTCTACAAACTTTTCGCAATACATTTAAAATAAAATTATTCAGACGCCAACTTTCTGCCCAGGCTCTTAGTTCTTTACTCCTTTGTTTTTACAAAGTAGAATGTTTCCAAGGAGCACGTTCTAGATAAGCTTTTAAAGTTCCGCACGTATATTGTATTCAACGAGCACGTGGCCGGTACCGTTGTCGCTCGGGGTCTCCCATTGTGCCAGACGCTCCTTCCAACGGCAAGTTCGCGTCGCAAAGAGTAAAACTTAATCTACAACGTGCTCTTTGCGTCCAGAAACATTCTATTTCGTGCAAGCAAATCGAGACGCTTGAAAAACTTGTCGACAAAGTACGATCGTAGTGTGCACAGTGTAGAATTTATCAACTTGCACAAATTTTTCAAACGTATCCGTTGACTCCAAAATACTGTAGAACGTTTTTAGACCCAAAGAGCACGTTGTAGATTAAAACGTTCTATTTCGTGTAAATAAATCAAAACGTTTGAAAAACATTTTATTTCGTGTAAGTAAATCAAAACGTTTGAAAAACTTGTCGACAAAGTACGATCGTAGTGCGCATAGTGTAGAATTTATCAACTTGCACAAATTTTTCAAGCGTATACGTTGACTCCAAAATATTGTAGAATGTTTCTAGACGCAAAGAGCACGTTGTAGATTAAAACGTTCTATTTCGTGTAAGTAATTCGAAACGTTTGAAAAACTTGTCGACAAAGTACGATCGTAGTGTGCACAGTGTAGAATCTATCAACTTGCACAAATATTTCAAACGTATCCGTTGGCTCCAAAATAGAAAGTTCCTAGGCGCAAAGAGCACATTGTAGATCAGACTTAAAATCAAATCTACAACGTGCGCTTTGCGTCTAGAAACATTCTATTTCGTGCAAGCAAATGAAAACGTTCGAAACACTTGTCGACAAAGTACGATTGTACAGTGCACACAATTAATCAACTTGCACAAATTTCTCCAACGTATCCCGTTGGCTCCAAAATCGAAAGTCTCTAGACGCAAAGAGCACACTGTAGATCAGGCTTAACGAGTATCCGTGTCTCTCGCGCGACAGGCGCGCACACGCGCATACTTGGGAGATTACTCGCGCGGCATTCTTAGAAAACGTCGGAGCCCGGCGATAAAACTGCCGCCGCGCCGCGCCGCGCCGCGCTTGCTCCCTCGCTCCGATTATAAATATACACCGCCGCTACCTTGCTGTGCACTAACCTCCGATGTCGAAATCGACGTGACTCCCTCCTCGGCCTCCTGGAGCCGCCAACTCGCGAATAATGAGTCACGACGGGCGCCGGATGCTCGATCATCGAAACCGTGTGGCGACGCCGCAGCTGCGCGTTCACAGCGAGGTCGGCGCTCGTTGTCGGGACGCCCCGATAACGCGCGATAACACCGTCCACCGCGGGCGACGTTTGACAGCCTTCGCCGTCGCCGTCGATGCGCGCGAGCCCCGACGCCTCGCCTCTCGCCGCTCCAATTTCACTGATTCGACGGCGCTCTCAGAGCCCGCGAGGAGGCCCGAGTGACCTCGAAACGTCCATCTCTCTTACGCAGACTCGCCGCGCGGAGCGAAGCAACGTATCCGACTCTGCTCCGGGCTCTCGGGGCGACGCACCGCGCGCGCACAGCGAACGGCCATTACGCGGCGAGATTCGCGCTCGTGGAAGGCACGACGGTACCAGGCCGGCCGCTCGCACCGAACTTACTACGAGCTACGAGGAGAGGAGCGAAGCGGCGACGGCGATTCGTCCTCGAGACCCCACCCAAGTGCTCGCTCGCTCGCTCGCTCGCTCGCTCTCCGCGCTCCTCGCTTCGTAAAAATCCTCTGGCGAGCCAGGGCGAGCACCCACGCGCGCTACACACGACCGTGCGCGATTTACGGTGGCCGGCGTTAAAAGGCCCGCACGTTTTGGCCCCAGCTTCTTGACTCTTTCCTTTTGTGTTGGAGAGAAAAAAAGAGGAGATACCAGCCGCGCAAGTTCGGCCAGAAATGAACGGGCCGTGTTAACCGTTCACCGTATCGCTTCTCTTGTTTTCTTTTTCTTTTCAACAAAAAGACCCTTATGAAAAAATACACTCAATCATACGGTCCGAAATAACCATCAAATTGAGTGTAAACCTTCATAATTGAGTGTTTCATGAAGGTTTGCACTCAATTTGATGGTTATTTCGGACCGTCAACGTATGATTGAGTGTATTTTTTCATAAAAGGGAGGAAAGATGAACCGTTCAAGTTCGGCCACAAATGAACACGCCTGTTAACACCGTCCACTGTATCTTTCGTCTCCTTTGCTCTCTAACGTGAAGAGAAAAGGATGAAAGATGGACTGTGCAAGTTCGGCCAGAAATGCACAGGTCTTGCTAACCGTTCACTGTATATCGCTCCTCTTTTTCTTTCTTTCTAACGCGAGGAGAAAAAAAATGAAAGAAATCCCTACCGAGGGTGTTAACTCGCGAGGACGTTACTTTGTATAATTTAATGATCAATTCCGATGGCAACGGCCTTTACGTGCACCGGTCGCGATTAAATGCAGAAGTAACGTCGTTGAGAAACGAGGTCACTGTCTCCTCGCGCGTTTCCGCGAATACGCACCTTCGCCGAGCTCCTTCGTTAATTTCGCCGATAAGCCTTTTTCCGGAGATCGCCGAGACGAGTATCTAATCTCGGGGGAGATAATGTATGCGCTTCTATTTGACGACGGGGACGGCGGTGTGAAGGAATACGACTGCGTGAGTGTTAAGCTTTTTCGTTTATTGAAAATATCTCTGTAAAACGTGTGTATATTGTGGCCGGGCGAGGTAAGCCGACAATACCGAATCTTCGACAACGAAATGAAATCGGGTAGCAAACGAAGAGATACGGTGAAGACATTGAAAACAATATAGTCGATCGTATTTTCATTTTAGTATCTACATAAGTAAAGGACGAATCAACGATGCATTCGCTTACTATTTAATCTTATCATTAATTATATTATGTATAACAAAGCGGTAACAACTTGTTAATTGTAACTATTATGATAATAATCTTTTTTTTTTACTTTATATAATTACAATAATATAATGTGTAAGGATCGTTAACTAATCGATAACAAACGAATCGTATCCTCCTTTTTCTCTTCTCTTCTTATTCTTCCCCACCCCCCCCCCTCACGTCGTATCATCGTTTCATTCGCGTCCTCCTTTCGCTCTTCGCTCTGACCCAAATGTCGATCGTTAGCGCAAACAGTTTTATTATTTATTTTTTTCGCTCACCCCCACCCCCCCTCGTTTTTTCTGTATTAATTATTTAACAACAGGTTTTTTTTTATCCTCTTATTATATTTGCTCTTTAATTTAATAATCGTAGTAAACATAGTAATTATTTATAATATTGTGCAAATAACCCATATATTTATATTTATATATATATTTCTTTTCTTGTTATTTATTCTGTTAATAAAAGTGTAAGTAATGAATGTCGTATTCTCAACGGAGGAGCTTCTCTGTGTTTTCTCGTTTTTTTCCGCGCGTGCCTCGTCTTGCGACACGAGCGCCCCGAAATCCGCGTGTCCGCGCGACACGCGCGAGCGCGTTGATATACACACACACACACACGTACCGCAGATTTGTTTGTCTTTAAATGGACGATCCTTCGCGCAATTTTTTCTTTTTTTTCTCTCTCTTTAAATATTTCGACAGCTAGCTTCTTCGTTTAAAATTGGATTCTTAGCACGTTTCTACCTAGCTTGATGACCCATGGCAGTTGCTTGTTCATTTATACTGGCCGACAGGCTCCGTAGCTTGACACTTTACAATGCTTTAGCCCAGCGCTCTAGGATTTTTGTTTCATATTTATTTAATTATTTATTTATTCTTTTACTTCATTAATATCATTATTTATTATCTCACGACGTAGGATTAATGATTCGAGAATATCGAGACACTACAAAGCCCTTTTTTCTTTTGCTATCCGTTTAAGAAAATTTTCGTGCATTTACGATTAGTTAACTTAGTTCTCTTTTATACAATGCGTAACGGCAGTATCGTCCTCGGAGAAAGTACGTTAAACCTCGTCTTACCTCGCTTAACGAAGGAAAGCCCTATTATTTTTTTTTTGTTACATATCTTACAGCCGTCGTCGCGCAAAAGCTGGTATTTTTAATGTACATTTTGGAAAAGATTAAACGAAAGTCAACAAAGCACACCACGCACACTCTTTCTTCCCCCCACCCCCTTGATCACATCGCATTCATTGTCGTCGTCACGTTCGTCACAGTCGTACGTTGTCCTCGTCACCGTCTCTGTCTTGCCTGTCCTGTTGCCGACCTCGCAGCACATCGATCAAACAAGCTTCGCTTTGTCTCACACGAAACTTCCCTCCCGCGATATCACCAATCGATTCTCGAGCAACCCCCGCGAGGGTTGGAGGGACGCCGAAAGGACTGACTTCTGAAGAAAGATTGTCAACCGAACGGAGGATACTTGACGCGGGAGAATCGACGTCCGAATCATTTTGTACAATGAGAACTTAGTCATTTTTTCGAGAAGCGGAGGAGCGCAAAACTTTTCTAAAAGACGTTGGAATCGCGCGCTTTCAGACTCGTATCTTCGCGCGACCTTTGGACGAATGTTGGCCTCGTCTTTCGCAAGACAGTCCTCTCGCGGTCCCCTTCAGTTCGACACCACGGACGGAGCGTTGATCGACGCCGACGAGCACGTTGCGATCGAATTATTGGGGAAGTCACGATTGAACGCGCGGCGCCCAAACGTTCCGTCCGTCGACGCGAATCGACGCTGCGTCTGCCTAAGAGTATTATTAGAAAGTTCCCTATTACGAGACGGGCTCCTAATATGAGATAAAGGAGCCTCTGCCAGATTAACAGGCGTCGTTCTGCCGGTTCCACCGCGAATTTATTGCCCCCGGAGTGAAATCTGTTTAGGAAAATCGATCGGCAGACCGTGCGATCGTCGCGAAAAAGGATTCGTCATTGAATTTGAACGTTGAAAGCCTACTATCTCACATTAGAATCCTGTCTCATAATAGCGGACTCTCCTCTACACTTGTCGTACGACAAATTTTTTTGTCGATTGGCTACGAGCTAGAAAGTTTCTAGATACTCGACAGGCTTTTCTATCCCGCAGCCAGTCGACACGCTTGAAAACTTCGTCGACAAATATAATACCAGCCGGGGGGGAAGGCGGATTTGCGGCGGATTCTGCATTTCGCGATTATTTCGAAGAGGGTCCTTCGGAGCGAACGCACGTTGCATAATCGATCGACGACCCGGAACTCGCCGCGATCCTTCGAGTCTGAACATCGCAGCTGTTTACGTCGTTTTACGATATTCCTGATAATTATGCAAATTCGAGACGTTCTATGAAACGTCCCGACGGATTACTCGGGACGCGCCGCGACAGGCGGATCCATCGCGGACGACGAGGCGAAGCGCGCAAGAAATAGGACGCCTCCACCGCTTTCGCTCGCGTGATTCATTTTTTTTTCCCGCCCCTCACCTTGGGATGATTCATTCGAGACGATCGCGAAAAGCGAGAACCGCCTTGCAAATTCGCCTCTCTCTCAGCGGCGCGCCTCTCCGTCGCGCGCCTCCACCGGGGAAGGACGATGCACCCGCGATGCTAATCGCCAAGGAGGCGTTTCCGGAGATCGCGGCCGTTCAGCTTCGCGCCCGTCGCCCGTCCCGCGACAAATCTACATCCCGGACACGCGCGCGCGAACGCCGATTAAACGCCCAGCGCGGTTTCCAGATAGCACAGTGAATTTGCCAAGTATTCTTCGAGTTCTCTGCCGTTCTAAATTGTACTTCTTCAGGAATTCACGCAGAAGAATGTACAATAAAAATGACGAATTGGGGAAAATGGTGGCGCCGAGTGTGGCGCAGAGAAACGTGCTGCTTAGCAAACAAATGAACGAAAAGACTCGAATGTGGAAAACGACGCCAACTGGCAAATTCTAATTGAAGAAATTTATCGCGAAAATTATTACCTCAGCCAGGGTTTGAACCTGGACCTCCCTGCACTCCGTCTCGCCAATTCGACTACCAGAACCAAGTCCAAGACGAACTGATTGCGGCTGATTCTTCGAGAATTCTTCAGATGTTCAGCTTTCTAAAATTCTGGCGGGTATTTTCTTCAAACTAGATTCTCTACGAGCTTGCGTTCGCCTTTGTGCTACCTGGGCTCCGCGAGATATCGCGTTAAACGTTTCACTGGCGAACGGACCGTCGGCACGTGTCGTTACCCTGAGAAAAATTTCCATCGGCTCAGGGCCAGTTTCACAAACATCGGTTAACTGCTAACCGAAGGTTAATGGATTCTCTGCCTCTTCTTAAATAATAAGATGCAAGAAGACAGGGAGTCGACTGAACCCTAGTTAACAGCTAGCCGATGTTTGCGAAACTGGCCCTTAACCGATTAAACAGTAGGTGGTTAAATTTTTTAAGTTACGAATCCACCCGACACAAAATTCGACCGAGACGTCGACACAATTTAACGTAAAGCGTCGGTTCCGGTGTAGACTTGTACGCGACGGGAGTCGGTGCCCTCGCGTCGCCCTTTGCCGTCCCTACACGTAAGTCACAGGTTGCTCACGCTCGACGAGTGTAGTATCGAAAATATATACTATTACGAGTATAAGCGATTTGATTATTATCGAATTATTTGCACATATTACAACACGGGAGGGGAGGCCAAACGGAAGAGGAAGCGAGGAGGAGGGGGGGGGGGAGGAGGGGGCTCGAAGGTGCGGGACAATAAGCCGGACGGACCATCGGATATTTTCGTGATACTTCGATATACAAGAACGCTCGAC